GGATTAAAGCTCCCTCAGCTATATCTCCCCACCTCTGTCTGCAGAGTTTTTCTACCCATATGTTTGTATGATGGCCATAGCTGCTGCCAAAGAACAGTGGGTCCTGTTAGAGAAGTGTTGGGTAGGAGGGACTGACTTTTTAAGCAGGACAAGTGTTGATGTCAGTGAGGAGAGGGAAGCACTCTAAAAAAAACAAACAAACCATGATATCCTCCTGCACTGAGGTGGTAGCTCTGAGGTTATCAGTGTTACCTACAGCCTTACTATTCTGCGTACGTCTTCACTGCTGCTGGGTATACAAATAGCAGCAGCCCTCCTCTGCCTGTGCCTGATCCAGAGCCATCCCCCAGTCCTGCTGGCCATGGTGATTCATATGTGTGTGGCCTCCAGGCTTGAATGCTGCGTAGTGCTCTACTTGGAATAAAACTCCTGATGCCTTTACAGTTGAGTCAAAATACAGCTACGACTTCACACAGCATTATGCCACTGGGAGCACATCAGTTTAAAGCTCTAACCCTGGACTGACACCCCCCTGGTGACTGAGTTAAGTTCGGGCCTTCCAACCAACCCAGACCATCTAAGGCAGGGGTGTGAAAATTATGACCCATGAAACCTTATCATCTGGCCCCAGTGCTGCCAATGGGTCTTAAGTGGATACACAGGCAGCATGTGGGGTGATCCAGATGGCCTTGCATACCGCATGCAGCTGCTTCATGCCAGATCCAGCGTGCATCCCAGAAAGGCAAAAGCTGGCATCATGTGCAGCATGGCCCCAGACCGATCAGCAGGCACTGTGTGAGGTGTGGTCCTGGACCGGATGCTCCAGGACATGTATTGCACGTGATGCCAACTCCAGGAAACATGTTGTTTCCAGAATGGAAGGGATGCTGTCTGGAGGAGGCATCGATTGCATGGCTCTGTCCCAGAGTAGTAAGAGAGGGCGTTGCATGCAGCCCAGTCCTGAAACAGCCAGTTCAGGGCCACACTACACACAGTGCCCACTCCAGCTGCTCCAGGACTTGCACTGGATCTGGTATGTGAGGCTGGTTTGCCTGTGGATTGGCCCCACACCACTCATCCAGCCTCGACACTCCTGATCTAAAGGATCACCTCAGCCCCTGCGATCCAGACGGTCCGTAATAGGGGTGTGCAAAGCGGGCCCAATTCAATTCAGATTCAGATTTGGTCTGAAGCAGGGACAGTGATTCAATCCATTGATTCAGATCACTGTCCCTGATTTGATTTGGCTGAATCTGAATCTGAAGATTCAGTGCTGCTTCAGAGAATCAGCAATTTGGACATAGACACAGCTTTACATTTTTTTCTACATACCTTGAGGTACCAGGCACAGCTCGTGACCACCGTGATGCTGGGGTGCATGGATCATCCCACAGGAATGCCGGCAGGGCCTCCACATGCTCAGCAGCAAACCCGGGAGTAGACCAGAAGTACTTCCAAACCACTTCCAGGTCTGCTGGGGAGTGTGCGGGGTGCCCTCCCCGCACTCCCCTGGCTCAGTGATTGGCTGTGGGGGGACCTCAGGTGCCCCCACCCAGATCTAGGAGGCACCAGTCACTGAGCAAGGGGGGTGCAGGGGGGGCCCTCTGCGTGCTCCCTGGTGGACTTGGAAGTGGACTGGAAGTGCTTCTGGTCCACTTCTGGGTCTGCTACTGAGAACGCTGGGGAGCCCCCTGCACTCCTGTGGGACGCTCCATCTGCCCCAACATCGCAGCACTCATGAGCCGCATGGTACCTAGAGGTATGTAGAAAAAACATTTAAAGCTGTGTCTATGTCTGAATCTCTGAACCTTTCTGAATTGATTCGGAGGGTTCCCATTCAATTAAAACGTCCTCTGATTCGATTCAGATTTGGAGATTCGGCACCGAATTGGGCCAAATCTCCTCCAAATCGAATCGAGGACTGAAGCTTCGTGCAGCCCTAGTCCATAACTACGCTGCTCTGGAGAGCAGAACTGTCAGTCACAGGGTGAAACTGGCGAGCATGGAGCTCAGCGTTTGAGCCTGAATTTTGAGACTTGATCCGGGAAGCTGTCAAAAGAACAAGTTTCCCTGCCTTCCCCACCTTCAAAGCAGAATGAATATGGAGTCTTCCCAGTGAAGGATGGTTTATAAAAGAATCCAACCTCAGGGACTGAGACCAAGATGCAGGCCATATTTGTTTGGTGTGTTGTGAGGCATTTGTATGCCTTGCAGCTTGGCACCAATATTGATACCAAAATGAAAAACAAGAGGGGGCTCAATTTGCCTAGCTAGGCTACATGGAAGGGTGTGCTGACAGCAACATAACAGCACTCTGAAGGGTGTAAAATTCATAGTGAGAGGAAATACTGGGGTGTTTATTTAATTCTTTAAAAAGCTACATGTGGAATAGTCACACCCCTGAGGGTAGAGTAGGTGACAGTTTGAGATTGATTAAACGGGCCCACTGAGGCAGACACGGTGAGGGCAGTCATGTCTTGTGCATTCAGGGTGAAAACAAGAAAATAAAAATTCCAGAATTATGTTTCTGAAAAGGACTACAAGGACAATGGCAGCAAAGTACCTGCCATTACTCACAGTCACCCCAAAGAGATCTGAAGTTCGCTGGACAGTTGGGCCTGGCAAGAGTCAAGGATTTTGTGTCTGACTTCCTCCCAACCTCTTTTCCAGGAACTCATCTTTTATACCACCTCTCTCCAGTCAGTTTCATGTTATACACATACACAGCTTATCCCATGCGCAAATACCTGAACCACAAAAAAAGAATGCCTGTTCTTTTATCAGTTAGTACCACGTCTTACATTTATATCAGTCACATTTGTGTCACACATTCCTGTGGCATCCATGCTGTCACTTTTTGTGGCTCCAACCCCTCTCGATGCCCAATATTCTTCTTTAAATAGTCTGTGCTGTCCTAGCATGCATGCTTAAGGCTACTTGCTTCTTATGTAAGCACATTGCCCTGAAATCGTATGATAAAATTCATATCTAGCTTATCTATTTTGGCCAAACCTGATCAGATCTGACCTACTCAAGTCAAGACTGTATCTTTTTTTTTTAAATTTTGTGTGTCGGGTCAAATCAGCCAAATCATTTCTAAATTCTATCAACTGAGCAGAGCCCAATCATTCAAGTCTGTGTGGTGCAACCACTGGCAAGTAACCTGCCTCCCAGACTTCAGCTTGTGGCTTTAGATACTTCCAAATCAATGGCAGGGATCCTATGAGAAAGTCCCAAGCCCAGAGGTTTTGGAGATCAGATGCCCCCTAGTCTCACTTGCCCCTAGACATAAAGTCGAAGTAGCAAGTTAGAGGAAAAGCCTGAAAGCAATCCCCCATCACCAAAATTGTGTACCCAAGATCCTCATATTGGGAGGCATTTATAGACTTGTAGGGATCAGCCTGCCTGCAGTGCAAGGGACAGGCCTTTACCCTCCTACTACACCAAGTCATCTGTTGGGTCTAAAGGCTTCCCTACTTAGCCTAACTTCCTCTTAAGTCATACCTTATGGGATACACAACAGATACAAGTATTTACCCCAGGTCAGGGACCTCGAGCCATGTCTGTAATCCAATTCTTATCATGGACAAGTGCATTAGTTTCACCAAACCACATCCTGGAAGAGGCAATGGAAAGAGTTCCTCTTTAGCCACTCCCACTGTCTGCAGGCCAAGGCCAGAGAGAATAACTAAGCCTGGCAGCATAACATACAAATTCGGACTCTTTTCTGTAAAGTACAAAAGCATGGCTGGCAGACTAAGATGGAGGCCTATTCAGTTTAGAAAAGAGATGCTTGAGGGGGACACGATAAGGGTTCACAAAATACTAAATGGTGAAGAGAAAGTTAATAGGGATTTATTATTTATTCTCTGTCACAATACAAGAACTAGGGATCCTAAAATGAAATTTAAAATGAACAAAAGGAAGTTCTTTTTCACACAGCATGCAATTCAAGTGTGGAACACATTACCACCGGATGTTGTGGAAGCTGGCAGTTTAGCCAGATTTAAAAAGGGACAAACTCTTGAAGAAAAGTGTCATCAGTAGCTATTGAGCCTGGGAGTTAGGGATAGAGCCTCTGAATCAGAACTTCCTAGACCTTAAATGCTGGAGGCTGCAAGTAGGAGAGAAACTGGAAAAAAGCCCTGATCATACCCTGTTCACTCTCCCTTTCAGCATCCGCTCTCCGCCACTGTGACACAGGAGACTGGGCAAGATGCACCTGTGGTCTGACCCAGTAAATGGCAGTTCTTATGTTATTAAGTAGAGGATGGGCAAGTTCAGGGGGATTCCTGGAAGCCACTCACTGGCAGTGTGATGATATGATATGATATGATATGATATGATATGATATGATATGATATGAAGCCACAGTGCAGTCTACCGGGGGAAGGGATGGCACTGCCTAGGATTTTTAAAATTAGACTATGATGGAGTCTTGGAAAATTGACTGTAGCAACCAGCCCTGCCTGGGCCCTGGGAGAACTGGCTGCTCTGACAGATCCTTCCTGCTGCCTGTGATTCTCTGCCAAATTCACAAAGGGCTGATACTCAGATCTTGTGTTTCTGGGGTAACCTGTGCTAACAGCACTGCCTTGTTGTGTCGGCCAGTAAAATCTTAGCTCCTCTGTGTCCCGCCCCCCCAGCCAGCATCGCTTGCAGTATTCTTGTGAATCAGAAGAGAGCCATGTTGCTGCAGTTGGAGCTGCAGCGTCTAGGCAGAGAGATGAAACAGTTGAGTTAATAAAGACGCTTTATAGGTGCCCCTCAAGGTGCCCGCTGGGTGGGGAAATGGAAACCTTTGCTCATAGATGCATTTGGAGGCTTGTACATTTTTTTTAGCCTGTCCCTTTAAAAATAAAAGGCAGCTGAACAGAGATTTGCTTCTGCTGTTGCTGCTGTATCCCAGCTCTGGCTCCCTCTCCGCTGCTGCTGCTGATGTGATGCGACTGCCCCACCTTCCCACCCAGTCTCATGATTCTCTCTCTTAATCCTTCCAGAGCCATGTGAGCCTACAGGCCAATAGCGTCCTGGGAGTGGGTGGTGGGGAGGCGAGCCGGCTGCAAGCAGAGATGCTTCAGCTAGACCTGATCGATGCAGCCGGGGAGACCCCTGCCGAAGAGGAGACAGCATCCGAGAAGCTCAAGAAAGAGCCCCTGCCGGTAACCATGGACACCTACAGACCCAAGCGACCCACAACTCTCAACCTCTTCCCACAGGTGCCTCGGACCCAGGTAGGTCTTGCCCGGGGCGTGTCAAGGGGCGGACAGGGGCCTGGATCCTGATGTGTGGCGTGCACTGCAAAGATCCCTCTCTCTTTGCTTGTCCCCATGTTCCCTAGGGAGCTCAGGGAGGATTTCCAGCCTTCCGACATTCCCAGGTGCCAGTTACCTGCTTACGGTTTCAAGGCAACACAGCAGTGTTGGGGGCCTGGGGGCAGGTGAGAGCTGTGGGTTGAGGATAAGGCTCGGGGCTCCAGCAACCATAGCTAAGACTGGGGAAGGAGAGGGTTAATGTCTTTTTGCAGGCACACTTGTCTTGGATGGCACAGCTCAGCTGGTGAATGAAAGAGGCTGCAATTCTGGGAGAAAGTGTGTGTGTGTGTGTGTGTGTGTGTGTGTGTGTGTGTGTGTGTGTGTGTGTGTGTGTGACGCACACAAGCAGAGCAGGTGCAGGGGACTGAAATCTCCCTTGCTCTTGGGCAAGAGATGATGAGTGGTGGAAGAGTTGCATTTTCCTCTCCTGTGAGATGACTCCTTAAACCCCTGCAAACATGTGAGGCTCTTGGGAGGTGGGGGTTAGTGGCGGTGACCCCTCCAAGCCATGTCCAATGGTTTACCCTGTTTGGTTTATCTCTGCCCAGTCAGGGTCTTTGCCCGCTCAGGAAGCCAACTCAATACTTGATACTGAAGAAACAGCCTCTAAGCCCAACCCTTAAGGCAGGAGGAGCCTACTAGGTTGGCAGGATGGGCAAGGAGGATGCAGGACCCCTACCGCACCCAGTTTCTCTGATGGACTTCAGTCCAGTCTGGCAGCATTCTCCGCTATTTGAACCCTATGCCACTCCTAGGGCCAGCCTCACACTCTGCCTAGGTGGGGGCAGGGACAGGGGCAGGGGCAGGAGAGACTTATTGATGCTCTGCAAACTCTGCTAAGACCATAGCATGTAGAAGAGACCCCTTCATGAGCCTGATGTTGCTTCCTTCCCATCCCCTGGGAGTAGTATGGGAGTAGTATGATGGTTGTCAGTTTGGCAGATAGGCCTCTAGGATGCATGGATCCAGATTTCCAGCCCTGTGGCAAGAGTAAGACTCTGAGAGGTTGCTGGCCTGGGGAAGAGACTGAGCAAGGGTCTTTGCCTGGAGTGGGGTGGGGTGTGCACAGGTCATGCTGAGGAGTTTTTTATCAGCTCACCCCCAGGATTTATAACCAGAAGGGTGATAGCTGAGTCAATTGAGGTGGTAAGAGAGGAATGGAGGGGGCTGGCCAGAGGAGGGGGGATTGGGGCAGAAGGTCTAGTGCAGTGGGGTAGAGTTAGCCGCCAGCAGAGGAGGGGGATAGTGGGACATAGCCAGGGAGCGCTTGAGGGATGGCACCTGTTGGCAGGGAAGGGGATTGGAGGGATGTGTTTGGAATTGGGTTTGGGAAGCTGCAGGAGAGAGGTCTGGGAAATGAGGCATGAAGTGCCAAATGCATGAATGAGCCATTGAGCAGGGTGTTCACAGGGCCGGGAGGGGGAGGGGGAGGGGTGGGCAGGCTAGGATGATGTGCGGGGGGCGAAGCAGTGCAATGGCTGTTGGGGAGTTGCAGCCAGAAGGAGAGTGTGAGTATTGGGCTAAAGACTGCAGCTGGGCTGTTTCTCTCCATGAGCCTCCTGGTCTCACAAGCTCAACAGTGTCTTGCCTGAATGTGGCTAAAATGGGGGAGCTAAAAATGAACACCCAGGGGCTGCAGCAGGGAGTGTGGGTAACTCAGTAAGGGATGCCCTTCCCCTTCCTTTTCACGCATGGAGTTGGGGTGCTGTCTGTTGTGTGAGGTACCAAATGGAGGTCCTGCCTAGTGGTGCCTGTTAAAAGCAGCAGGATGTGAATCCCAGGGTCTTGTACAAATTCCTTCTACGGTGCTTCTGCTGCCCCCCCCCCGTCCCATGTACAGTTGCAGTGAAAGAGGATTCTGCTCCCAAAGTGCTGGGCCCCGGTGCTGTTCCACCCCAGAGGGGGCTGCATTTCAGGGTGAGGGGCTGCAAATGTATGTGCAGTGGCAGGAATCCCGCCGCCTGCATCTCTCCTGTAGAATATGCAAAGCAGCACAAGGTGCGGGCTGCCCAGAAGGCTATTTTAATCAGTTCCTGTAGTTCAGCCATGGCTGCTTCTGCCAAGTAGAAGGATTTTCATCTTGGTGGCACTCAGCTGAGGAGCATGAAGCCAGAGGCAGGTGTTCCTCTGGGTGACAGATGGGGAGTAGTCAGTGGGCATGGTGCTGTGTGTCAGCAGCATAAAACTGGCAGCTGATGTTAACTCTCCAATTGAGGAACTGGGGGTGGGAGGAGCAATGAAGAGAGTAGGGCCATGGAGAGAGCCTTCTCATCCTCACATGCGAGGTGCAGCTGGTACCCGACACAAAGGGAGAGCAGTTAGAAAGCCTGGAGGCAACCAGACATGTGAGCATAATGGACAAGGAGGAGGAGGTAAGTTTTGTAGCCTTCTGCACAGACATCCTGGAGGAGAAAGTGGGGTGTATGAGCCAAGGGTGCTAGCCAGAGGCAGGCCTGAATGGCTGTCAGGGAGCAGAGAGGTTGACTTTGTCTGGTACTTTGCACATGAGGTGGGTCTCTTGGGGAGGGACAGCAGGGAACTGTGGGTGACAACAGTGGAGAAACAGGCCAAGATGAGATGTATGGGGCTCAGGAAGGTGAGAGTAGGTGGTGTCTAGGTAATGAAGAATTGCACCGAAAGGAGGGAAGGAGGGAGGCTCAGTGGAAGCAGGAGGAAGGGGTTTGGCCGCAAGAGTGCCACTGGCAGCTTGCTTCCCTCCTGGAGTGGAAGAACATAGCAGCTCCTCGGCAGAGAAGGGGAGCCAGGGTGGTGAGGGACCAAGCCAAGGGCACCAGCAAGAGAGTGAGGAGAATGCAAGTGGTCTTAGCAGCAGTGGGAAGAGGGAGTGCTGGGTCTCTGCAGGGGACTGCTGCATGCTCCTGTCAGCCTCTGGCTCAGAGCGGGTGCTCAGCTCCCCTCTCTTTTGGATGAGGAGGTGATTGTGAGGAAGCAGTCTCTAAGGAAATACCAGGGCAATGGCTTTGTGGGGACACCCGTGGATATGGCTGACGAGAATGCCCCTGTGGTGTGGGGATGCAGGAGCCTGGTGGGAAGGACCGTGTAGGGGAGGGTGTGCAGAAACAGGATTGTCAGGGCCCTGTGGCGGGTGAGTGCAAGTGCAGGGGGCAGCAGGAAGATGGAGATGCAGAGAGTTAGGAGTGGATGGGGCAGATGGGTGTGTGTAGGGGAGAGGAGGGCTGGGACATCTGGCCCTCTGGAGCTGGATGACTACACTGGCTGTCAAATCCTTCATGATGCCATTGCTCTTCCACTCGCTGGGAAGACTAATTTTCCCCCAGCATACTTCCCCAGACCTGCCCTTGCTTGCCCCCCCTCCTGTAGCTGTGAGTGGCCGTGCTCTGCCACCCCTATGGCCCCATGTCCCCAGAGGCCTCTTGCACTTGGCTGGGGGTGGGAAAGGCAACATGGGCTCCTAGCCAAGGGAAGAGTGTCGCTGGAGCCATGTGCAGCATCTGTGGGAGCCAGATACCTTTGCTGCCTGTCTCAGGATGTTTCTGGCCTCAAATTTGGCCAGCCAGCATCCTCCTGCCCTGAAAAGCAGAGCTGAGATGGGGTTTCTCTGCAGCAGGCAGGCCCCTCTCCACACACGTGATCCTGTGTGAGCGGAGCAGTGACACAGACAGGCAGGCTCAGAGCCTGGCGTGTCTGGCAGTGACAGCTGGAGCCTGTTAACCCATTCAGACCCAGTACTGTGGAAGAGGCTCAAAAGAGCACAAATCTGCCCAGTTAGTGAGGGTGACAGAGGGTCCTTTCAATCAGCTTCAGCAGGGTAAATAACTGCTGCGAGGAAGCTCAGGCTGCCGGCTTCTCACTGAGGCAAAAGGAAAATAAATTTGGGGCAATACCTGAGTTGGGGGGGCAGAACCTTAGTGCCAAAGGGAATGGGGGAGAGAGAAAGGAGAGTAACAGGCAGAGGGGAGGCTCTCTTTTTGTGGGGCAGTCTGCTTCTGCCCATGAAACAGCGCCCCTCCCCTTCTAGCTGTGGCTCAGGGGATTGGGGGAGCCAAGTCATCTTTGGGGACAGAGCTGCTGTGAGAAGAGATGACTCCTCCTCTTTCACTCCTCCTGCCATGGATTTGCTGTTATAAGCTCTATGTGAGGGAGCAGCTGCCCTCCTCAAGGGGAGAGTGTGGCCTGGGCAGTTAGGATAAGTAGCCCAGGCCCATGCAATATGGAGGCAGACAGATGTTGTTTGCACGCAGATGCTTTGTGGAGCAGAACTGCCCTTGAGGTGGCACCAACAGGCCCATTTACCCTGTGCAGCACAGGGCCAGGAGCTGCTGAGCTACGTGCAGCTTCCCGTGGGAGTTTCCCTGAGGGTGCGTAGCACCACTCTCAGCTGCACCAGCATCTGCCATATTGAAGCCACCACTTCACTTTGCTCCCCCATTTTGATGGGGCTGGCTGGTGCACCCTCACAGCAGGTAGCACCTTTCCCAGGTCACCATTGCCCTAACAGACTCACCTCTGGGCCTTCATTTCTTCTGTACAAAGCTGAGCTCCTGTTGTGGGAAAGCTCTGGCGGCAGCTGATGGTGTGGAGAGGACAGGAGCTAGTCCGAGGTCTCCTGATGCTGCTGTATCTCTGTGTGGGTGCCTGCACTAGGTCTTGCTGTCTCAGCTCATACTGTGTAAGCTTGGTGAATCCAGCCCCCAGCTCCCAGCAATCTCCCCATCTGTTGACTTTCCTGCAGCCCAGGTCCCTCCCAGTGGCTCTGCCTTGCAGCCCTGTCCTCCACCCCTTTCCTGGTTGTCCTCCATCTCGCTGAGGCTTCAGGCCACTTGGTATCTTTGATGCCCTCCAGCTCACCTGGACTCCATTCAGCCTCATGACTCTAGTGAGGATGTCTAGATTGGATATCAGGAAAAATGTCTTCACTGTTAGAACAGTGAGGCAGTGGAATAGACTGCCGGGGGAAGCTGTGGACTCTCCATCGCTGGAGATATTCAAAAAGAGGATGGACAGCTGCTAGTCAGGGATGATCTAGACGTAACTTAGGCCCATGTTCTACTGGGGGTATTTTCCATGCTTCTGAGCTGTGCTGGTTGCCACACAGGGCCGGGAGGGAACTCCTCCCCCTACTGCTGCTATATGTCAGAGTTTTTTAAGCCTTCCTCAGAGACATTGGGTGCTGGCTACAGCAAAGGCTGGGGATTTTGACCAGGGTGTGCCAGTGCTGCTGCTGGGACTTAAAGCCAGAGGTTCCTGGCTAGAGGGTCTTGCCTCTCCGCTCAGGGTCAGACTGATCACCATATTGGGGGTCAGAAAGTAATTTTACCCCATAGCTGGACTGATATGGACTGTGGGGAGGGTTTGTCTTCCCTTGTAGTAGGGGGTGTGGCTGTCTTCCTGGGATCTCTTGAGCACATATTAACAACCTTACACAAGCAGGACATAGGGTACTGTGGTCCCCCTGCTTTACCTGAGGCAGGTCAGTGTGTTAGGTCTTATGTTGTGTCAAGGCTGACTATGTGGTTTGACTAAGAAGTCAGGCAATGGATTTGTATAGGATGTTTGGTCAGGGATGATCCTGCCTCAGGCAGGGGCTTGGACTAGATGACCTCTAGAAGTTGTTTCCATCCCTACTTCTGTATGAGTCCATCTAAGGTGTTTGCCTGACCCCGTCGCCCCAGTGGCTGAGCACATCACAGTCTTTAACCTAGATATCTTCAGCATGCCACAGGGAGGCATAGAGAGTCTGAGTGCCTTGCCAAGGCCACCCAGAAAGCCTGTGGCAGAGCAGGGAATCAAAGCCAGGTCCTAAGCTAGAGCCCGAATCACTAGACCAAATGGTTCTGCCTTAAGTGAGGCTCTTGAGTCAGGAGCCTGGGACATAGATGAGGAAACAGGAGCAGCAGGTGTTGATGAGCCTCTTCAGGCGAGATGGTGACAGCAGCAGCATGAGTAATTTGACCCAATCACTTTCCTTCCTCGTACAGTCAGTGCTGATGGCTCCCAATCCATAGGTCCAGTTCTGTTGCCTCCAGCTGCCATGAACCCTTCTCCCCCTTGCTGCCAGGCTCCCCCTCCATTCACTTAACAGAAGAGCGTCTTCTCTATGTAAACCCCCAGTGCTTGCATGCCAAATACCCTGATGCATGGGCTCCACCTAGCCATGCTAGCTGCCGTGTTGTCCCCCCTCTCCCTGCCAGTGACCACATGGTGAAGTCATGGGATCACCACTCTTTTCATAGATTCATAGATTAAGGGTCGGAAGGGACCTAGTAGATCTTCTAGCCCGACCCCCCGCCAGGGCGGGAGAACAACAAAAAAACCCCAAAAAGAGAAATGGGACTCAAACGAGTCCAGCCAGGTAGGCATCCAGCCTCTTCTTAAAGACCCCCAGGGTAGGGGCCAGCACCACTTCCCTTGGAAGTTGGTTCCAGCTCCTAGCCGCCCTAACCGTGAAGTAGTTTTTGCGGATGTCCAATCTATACCTCCTCTCCATCAGCTTGTGCCCATTACTCCTTGTTATGCCAGCGGGCGCTAGGGGAAACAGCGTCTCCCCCAAACCCTTCTGGTCCCCCCTAGTGAGTCTATAGACAGTCACCAGGTCCCCCCTTAGCCTTCTCTTGTGGAGGCTGAATAGGTTCAGGTCCCGCAGTCTCTCACTGTAGGGTCTGCCCTGTTGTCCCCGGATCATGCGGGTGGCCCTCCTCTGGACCCTCTCCATATTGTCCACATCCCTCTTGAAATGGGGCGCACAGAACTGGACACAATACTCCAGCTGTGGCCTGACCAGCGTCGCCTGTAAGCCTGTGTGGTGGGACACGTGGCTCAGTGGAGTGATGCGTGGCTGCCTGTTGCAGTACAACAGGATAACAATTCTGTGTCCTGCTGGGCTAGTGACCTAACTCCTACTCTCTAAGGGAAGGATTAGGGTAGAGACTTGTATGTGTTTTCTCCAAAGGCAGGACTGGACAAGAAGGGGGCAAAAACCCTGATGTCAGTCCTAGGCCACCTCCACCCCCAAAGTTAATCATTCTCACCACTTCTCTTGACATTAGCTCCCTTCTGGTATTTGGGAGCAATCCCATCTCCCTGTAAGCTGCTCCCTCCCAGGTGGATGCTGTCCTACATGGGTGTAGGGGGTTGGAAGATCATTCTCCACCTCTGTTCTGGGAGCTGGGCTGGGATACAGACCCCAGAGCATCCAAGTAACTACTGCCATGGGGTGGCTGACATTGCCCTGACCACCCTATGAATCACATGCCCACACTCCTTTCCCTCTTTTCCTCTGTATCCCATAGTCTCCTCCCTCCCTATATGGCTGAGCACTGGGCCCACCTGGGCCCACCTGCTGGATGGACACAGGCCCTAAGGTCTAAGTTTCAGGCATACCAGGTCCCCATCTGGTGTTGTCCTGACACCACCACACAGAAGGGAGGGTTATCCAGAGAGATCCCCTCTCCCCATCAAGGCAGAGCACAGACACAGTGGGAATGCGAGCAAGCTGAGTGCTGGGAAGGGAATGGGCCAGTTTCTGTTGGGACTAAATATCCACTGGATTGTGGTCTTTGAGGGCATGTGGTTTCCACCCTGCGCCACCCTTTCTAGCTTCCTTTCTGTCTAGATGATACTAATCTGGAGGCTGGCCTCCCTGGACACTACACAAGCTGTATGGGCCACTTCTGCTGTGTTAATTCATCTGGCCTAGCTGGTTTGTGCACTAGTGGACAAGTGGGGGCTAGCAGCCACTTGCTGCTCAGCACATGGTGTGTAGAAGTCCTAGCAGAGGTGGTTGCTATGGCAGCTCAGGTGGCTTATGGCCCATCCTGTTGAGTCTTCAGGAGCTATGGAGAAGCAAATTGGGGAAGCTTGATTTGTTGCATTGGTGTAAGAGGGGTTTCTGAGACTATGCTGGAAACCTGCAGCAGCCCCTCCAGAGGGGTCTTTCCCTCCTTTCTTGGCTTGTTGCTTGTTGAAGGAGGAAGAAGGCAAGTATCAGAAAGCTCAGGCTCTTGTAGAGTGAGAAGATCCCCAGGAGAACTGAATCCCTCCCAGGGGGGAGGAAGGAATTGTTATAGGCATAACCTGATGAGGTCACAAGAAAAGCCAAAGGGCTTTCTTGTACATGTATCCATCCATATGGGGTGGATACATGTACAAGAAATAATTAAAACCCTCATGCTGGAGAAATGCAGCTACTGTAGCTGGGGAAAAATAGCCTGAAAGCCAGATCCTCCCTTGGAGAGGGACCAGGGGAACAGAAGCACCAGCGAGAGACTCAAGGCTTAGGATGGGAAACAGGAGCAGGAAATAGGCCAAGAGTGTCAAGGAGATGCAAATCAGCAGTGAGATCCTGAGGACTGTGTGTGCTGAAGCTTCACATCGCAGTGCAGGTGAAGCCATCTGGGGGGACCTCACCTCAGTCACTGCTGAACTTATACTCCCAAAGACCTCAGACACCTGGACCTGGACCTGGCCTGGAGTAAAAGACCTCTGTCTGGCTAGGCTGGTTCAGTAGTGGGTAAATGTAGAGCAGGTAGGTAATGTTCACAGGTGTCTAAAGCCCTGGGAGGGCTGGAGGCGAATCTTTAGAGCAATAGGGCAGGGTGTCACCGATGGGAGCACTCTGGCTGAACCTCCAGATACTTCCTATCTTTGAGATGTGGAGTCCTCTCCTTAGTTGTTAGACTGAGAAAGAGCCTTCAAGACTGTGCTGGACAGCTTGACCTGGGGCTAGCTGGCCCTTTTAGTCAGACCAAGGAGGGGGATACCCGGCTAGACAATTTGCCTCCTCATGGCAGACCCCACTGTCTGAGTGCCCTCAGAATTTGTCAGCTACATACCCAGGTATAGCTAGTGGGGACCACAGGATCTGTCTGCTCAGACCCACAGGGTCTGTCTGCCGGTGTCTAGAACATGCAGGAATAGCAGCTGCAAAAGGATTAATGCTTTGGATCAACCCAATTCCCTGAATAGCTCCAAAAGGAGGCCTTGTCCTCACTGGAATGTGCACCAGGTCCCCGACAACATCACCCATGATCAGCTTGGGTTGTTTTCTCTTGCCTGGCCTGTGTGTGTCATTTAGGCTGTGCCCTGAAGGCTGTCAGGGGCACTGCAGAAGCCCAGGGGTGCTGATGTGTTGCAGAGTGCTTGCAAACACCAGCAGATTCTCCCTATGCCTGAAGAAGGGTGCCTGTGCCCAAAAACTTGCAAAGAACAATTTTTCCAACTATTCAGTTGGTCTCATAAAAGGTATCACTTTTACCCAAATAACATTGTCTGCTGTGTTCTCCAACATTTCTCCTGACACTGCCCTTAAGGGTCCCATACATGGCAGGTCACACACTCAGTATGTAGAGATTCCCGTGCCAAGCATTACCAAGCACATGACCTGCCTCACGGGCTCAGAAGCTGAGGAGAAAATACTCTTTAGTAGTTTTAGTGTCCCAGAGTATGGGCCCTCCTCAAGTCCTGGGGCAGTGCAGATGACAAAGCTAGTGCTAGGGGGAGGAGAGAGCATGAAGTGGGTAATTGAGAGAGCTTGCACAGTGTGTCAGTGATGCATCAGAGATGGGCGCAAAGTTTTCTCAGGATTTTCCTGCAAGGGGATAATAAAATCTCTGGGGGCCCCCTAATCCATTTTAGGGCTCCAGGTGAGGCTCTTTTGCTTATGGCCTATCCCTCCTATGCTGGGGTTTCACCCCTGAGCTACGACCCAAACTTTCCCAGCAGCAGCACCAGCAGCTGAGATTAGCTGGTAGATCCCCCTGAGCAACCATTTCCCCTGATGCTCGCAGGCAGAAAATAACTGTCTGGCAGTGAGCAGGCTAGGGCAGCAGCGTGGTGGGTCAGAGGAGGGACGGGATGCCTTTGTGCCATGCGCTGTTTACTGTTCCAGCTACAAGGCAGCTTTGTTCTTTCCCTCAGGACACTCTGAATAACAACTCTCTTGGGAAAAAGCACAGTTGGCAGGAGCGGGTGTCCCGGTCATCTTCCCCCTTGAAAACTGGTGAGTCTCAGGCTCTCAGCAGGGGCTGCTATCTCCCATCCCAGGATCTCTCTCCTGGGAGTTTCTCTGGTGCCTGGGTCTCAGAGGGGCAAGCCCAGTTCTGCATCCTCAAGTGCCCTGACCCTCTGGCTTGTGCCAGAGGGCTGAGTGTTACAGTTGTCCACAAGCTGCTGGATGCATAGTGGGCCTGCAAGGGGACGACATCCCACCAACTCCCTGTTTACTGGATACCTGGCCCCAGCTGGGGTGGGTTGGTGCTGTGGGAAGTTGTGTTTCTACTTGGATCAAAATCTCTCTGGTCTGGGCACCCGACTTCTGAACTGCTGGCTCAGATCAAGAAACAGGCTGCTTTGAAGGGATGCTCTTTTAGCAACCCGGGTGCATGGATAACTCCCCTGGTGGTGGGGAGCAGGAGAGCCCAGGGAAAGGCCCTGGTGGTGACTGGCTCTTGCTGAGATACAGAGCCGTGCAGGAGTGTCATTTGAATAAAGTGGGGCCATCTGACACAGGGTAAGGGTCCTTCTGGGGAGTCTGCTCAGGCCTGCAGCCTCATCCTCAGCCTCAGCCCCAGCGCACTGGAGCTCTTATGACATTAGATGTTCTGGGCATTTACATACTTTATAACCCAACCCAGAGTGCCCCTGGGCGCCTTGCATGTGGGAACTGGCTACCTGATGCCCCTCTCCTTTTTTCTTCCTGCCCCCCCAGGTGAGCAGACCCCTCCCCATGACCACGTTTGCCTGAGTGATGAGGTCAATCACCAAAACAGCACAACCTCCACCAAAGACCGGGGCACGTCCACGGAGAGTCCATGCCGGCGCACGGCTGCCACACAGATTGCCCCTGCCTGTGTGGCCTCCTCCCGGGCGCCTGAGAAACACCAAACCATGAGCCGGCCCCCACCCCACAACCCCAGTGTGGTGGTGGTGACAAGGGGGCCGGAAGCCCACCGGGACCGTATCCGCTACCAGACGGACGTGAGGCTCGAGGCCACCGAGGAGATTTACCTGACGCCTGTGCAGAAGAACTCCGATCCGCTGGAGCCCGAGAAGCCGTTCCTGTCCCAGTCCAGTGAGAACCGCATGTCCATCAGCTCTGACGTTGATGCCTCCAGCTACCCCGCACTGGCGGGGAAGCCCAACCCCTCCATCAGCGAGGAGGATGAGGTGCTGGACTACATGTCCTCCCCTGACAAGATGAGCCTGCCCAGAACCTCATGTAGTGGCAGCAACAGTGGCTACCGGCCTGGGCACAGCCTCCAGCGGGCCTCGGTGAGCTCTGACACCAGCGCCCTCTCCTATGACTCGGTCAAGTACACACTGGTGGTGGATGAGAACGTGCAGCTGGAGCTGGTCAGCCTGAAGCAGTGCTACTCAGGCTACAGCGATGAGAGCGACTCAACCACCGTCTATGACAACTGTGTCTCCTCGCCGTATGAGTCCGCCATTGGCGAGGAGTATGAGGAGGATGCACTGAAGCGTGACTCAGTCTGCCTCTCTGAGGACTCCACCCCAGAGGCGGACATCCACTTCTCCAAGAAGTTCCTCAATGTCTTCATGAGCGGCCGAGCGCGTTCCTCCAGTGAGTGCCGGGGAGGAGGGGGTTCCTCTGCCTCCTGGGAGGACTGGGCATGGGTAGCAGTGGGGGCTCCATCACTGTACGGCAAGGTGATCCTGTTCTCTCCTTCCCACACCCCTGTGTGAGGCTGAGTGGTTGGCACGCTGGGAGTCATGGCCTGGCAGAGGTCTGGAGCAGTGTAGGCAAGAGGTGTCCAGAGGTCACTGTTTGACAGGGTCTGTGATTTCTCTTTCTCTACCCCAAGGTTAATGAGACTGTATTAGCCTTGCAAACCCTGCTGGCAGGAAATTGCTGGTGAGATAGCAGGCCCTTCAGCGTGAGACCGGGCTCTGGTCTTTTCCCAGGACAGCAACAAACCTCATTTGTTGCTGTTGTTTCTCAGAGCTCCTCACCTTTCCTCCCACCTTGTGGCTGTGAGTCTTGAGAACTGTGAGGAGCTGAGGGTGGCAAACCAACCAGATTGATTCTGAAATGTCCTCCCCGCCTTCTTCTGTAATTCTCCCCCAGAGGTGGAGGCGGAGGGGCAAAAGAGGATGGGTGAGGTCAGACGCAGATAGAGCTTCATTTCCAGGAAGTGCTGACAGTCAGCTCCGTTGGTGGCTTGGAGGCAGCAATTTCCTTGAACTCTGTTGTCACTAGCATCTCCTGGTGCTGCGTGGCCTTGGCACTGTCCACTGATGATTCATTTGGGAAGGGTTGGAAGCTATTGGGTGACATCACTCAACCTTTGGGTGACATCACACAGCTCCATCTTCACTAGAGACTGGAGTCTTTTGGAGTTTCAGCCAGTTGGAATGAAGTGGTGGAAGCACAAACAGTTAGGTTCCTTCGACCATACTCCAGATCTAGCCAGCAGGGCAATCCTCTGAGACTTGGTTCTAGACCCAACTCTACTGTTGCGCTTTTGCATGGCCTTGGAGAATCATGGTCCTTCTCTGCGGTTCTGTTTCCTCTTCTCCACTCTATTCATAAGCCCTTTGGCACAGGGGCTGTATGCCTGTCTGTTTGCATAGTGCCGGACACAGCAGGACCCCTATTTCATTGAGAGAACACCCAATAATAGAGTATCTTCACTGGGCATGACTGTCTTGGTTAAGTGTTATCCAGCATCCACACTAACATGTCTTAGCCAGAGGCGATCCTGTGATACTTGTCCCCGGTGGATGTGTACCCCTCTGTGGGAATGTGCCAGGAGTGGGATTATCAGGTCTGCCCTACAGCTGCCCCACCAGTGAGCTTCATATGGTCCCCAGATGAGAGACCCTCCTAAGACGGTCTCTCATCCCATATTCCTTCTATTACCTGCTCCCTCAAAAATACTGCTGTGGCATCATCCAGTTCCTCCTTCTGTCCTCAGCCAGAGAATCACCTGTTTTTCATTGCCTGAACAAACTGTGATTAAGTTAGGGGAGGGGTGATTGAGTAAACCTCCCTCCATATACCCAGGTTTACCCCATTGGCCACCACATTCCTAGTTTCCCTTCTCCAGAAACGCGCACATGCACACATGTGTTTGCACACACACACAACGATGTCTCCATTCATCCCTTCTGCTTTGGTGACTAACCAGGTGCAAGTCCTGTTCTGAGACTGGATTCCCACATCTCCCAAGGGATCCCTGTAAGGCAGGAGTGCTAGCTTGAGGTGGAGTGTACTGTGCTGTTAGGAAACTGACTCTGCTATTTGGGCTGTGGCCTTGGGCTGGAGCTGTTTGTGGTCTGTGGTCTTTGGCAGGGTGTGAGGAGCAGGGCAGCTCTGACAGACACCTGTTCCCCATTGCGTTGCTGATGGATGGGGTTTGTCTGAGTGAGAAACAGAGCAGCACTGACATGACAGTCTTGAGCCCAGTGCCCCCACCAGGGGTGGCCCTCAGGAACTCAGGTTTCCTTGCCCACTGAGGAACCCCACAAAAACCAATGCCTTCCCCTTTGCATTCACAGGTGCTGAATCCTTTGGGCTATTCTCTTGTATGATCAATGGGGAGGAGCAGGAGCAGACTCACCGCGCTGTTTTCAGGTGAGCACAGATATCCTCTCCTCCTAAGCAAACAAGCTCTTCTACCCAGAGCACTCACCCAGGAAGACCAGGACCCAATCATCCCAGACAGTGGTGTTGGCCACCTCCTCTGTGCCTCACAGCCCTCACTTGGAAGCTAAGAAGCTTCAAACTCATCGCTCCTGAGGTGGGAGACCTCCAAAGCAGCCTAGATAGGGAGTATTCAGTAGGGGAGGGCACTCTTATAGCTGACAATAGGTCTCCAGTGTGGCTTTGTGCTGCCCTTCTGGTCACTAAGAATCACCAGGCTCTTCCCTATGGAGTCAAGCCACTTGCTTAGCTCCAAGGTCACTGTTCTCCCTCAGTATCTGTTGGATACAGGCATCACCCCTCACCTTGTCCTTAGACACTAGGCAGGGTGTTGGCTCTATGCCCCTAGTTGACAAAGTGCTGGTGCCCCCCTCCTCAGGTTTGTCCCTCGTCATGCGGATGAGCTGGAGCTGGAGGTGGACGACCCGTTGCTGGTGGAGGTGCAGGCAGAAGACTATTGGTACGAGGCCTATAACATGAGGACGGGTGACCGTGGCATTTTCCCTGCTTACTATGCTATCGAAGTCACCAAGGATCCTGACCATATAACAGGTACCAGTCCCACCTCTGTCGCCCTGCCCATGCCCCTCAGCCCAGGCCCACACCACTCACTTTGCTGCTGAAGTTCAAGGGTGTTCCTGAGCCGCAGCTGGCTATTACGCCAGTCTTGATGGAGAGGGAGGAGTCTCTCTGAAGAGCATGCACCTGTCCTGCTGAAGTAATTCCAGGCTGCTGGGCCCCAGGGCTGGCATTGTCACTGGGTTTGAATTGTAGTTAAGGGAATTTGCTTGATTGCTTTCAAGATGCCAGCTTAGGAGCAGGGAGAGACCTAGCCAACTTCTGTCCATGGTGCTGGAGCCTTGTGCCTTGGGCCCTGTATTCCAGTTGGGCTGAAACTTTCTAGACCTTATAAGCCATGTGTTTGGGCCCAGATGCCATATGCCTCTGTGTGTGTGTGTGTGTGTGTGTGTGTGTGTGTACATGCATGTGTGCACATTCTAATGCCATCTCTGTAGGTTCATATGCTCTCCCCTGCCTTGCAATTTCTTCCCCAGCCCTGACCAAGAACAGCGACTGGGTGGATCAGTTCCGGGTGAAATTCCTTGGCTCAGTCCAAGTTCCATATCACAAAGGCAACGACGTGCTGTGTGCAGCTATGCAGAAGGTACAGTAGTCCCCATTCCTGGGCATCCCAGGCTGAGACACCTCCCACCCTGAGGAGCAGGGGGTGGCTTCCTTCCTGAAGAACCAAGTGCCTGCTGGGGTGAGCTAGACACCAGCAGAGACCCTTCGCTGAGGAGGGTGGGGAAGCAGTGAGTACTTACATGTTTTCTGTAGCCTGTCCCTTCATCTTCCTCAGATTGCCACCACCCGCCGCCTCACTGTGCACTTTAACCCGCCCTCCAGCTGTATCCTGGAGATCAGTGTGCGTGGAGTCAAGATTGCCGTGAAGTCTGACGATGCCAAGGAGCACGGCAAGGTATCTGCTGGCTGCCCCTCTCTTCCATTCCCCTGCACCTTGGCCTGCCCCTGCTCCAGCTGAGTACATTCCAGTGGCCAGCACATCCTCCTCCCATCTCTACCCCTGCCCAGTAAAGACAGTACAGGTTTCCCTTGCTTTATGCTGTATACCTGTTCCAGGAAGAAGGCATAACTCAAATTTGCATAGTGGGAACTCTCTACAATGTAACAAATAGAGATATGTTCCAAGACCTTGACTATGCTGACCTCCAGACCCATTTCTACCACTTTTACAAGACAATTTTGGTACTCACCAACAGCAGACAGTACACACAAGCACAGGGTGGTGGTGAATGTTACCATAATGGGGATGGCAAATACAGAAACGTGTCACAGAGAATGAGCAAGGAGCACAGTTCCACACAGGAGACTATATTTCAGTGCACATCAATCCCACAATGCACTGCCCAAAGCAGTTGACTACAGGCTTCCACCGCACCAATCACATAAGAGTGAAATTACCTTGCATATAATGAATTTTTAGTATAAAAAGGGTTATTGCATAAGAGCAAATTCGCACATACAGAACCTGCATAAAGCAAGGGAAACCTGTATCCATATGTGCAAATCACTCATTTGCAAATATATGTATATATGCAAATCTTCACTGTTGGAACTGTGTCCCAGAAATGTCACCTGAGTAGCTGAAATCTATATAGAGGGTGCCCCCCTCCCAGCTCTCACCAACAGCAGGGCCCACATCCCAGGGGCCTGCTCAACCTCCTCACTGCTGAGTACACTCCTGGCCTGATTTGCTTGTGAGCTGCATGGCTTTGAGCATCTGTGAGCTACCTGTAAGCCCTTCTGCTACTATTTTGGGTGGCGCACTCTGGATCTGCACAGCAAAGCTCCTTAGCTGGGCACAGGAGGCCTCTGATTAGTGTTCAGCGTAAGTAGCCTCCACAGAGCCTGCATGAAGCTGGGCAGAGCCAGACTAGGCCATCGGACAAAGCTATTCAGAGAGCCATGTCCCTCCCATAGGAATGCACTTGCCCTGCTAGAGTAATTCAAGGCCGCTGGGCCTCAGGGCAGGGATTTTCATTGTGTACGAAATGCAGTTAATGGATGCTGCTGTATTGTTCTCATTGGGTTGGAAATGCAGTTAAGGGATGCTGCCGTATTGTTCTCAAACTGATTCATACTGAAAGCCTCCAGTTGCTGATCAGGGCATTGTAAATGGCACGGGCTGAGTGACTTATTAAATATCTTTAAAATATGCATTTCCATCAAGTTTTCTGCTGAGGTTTCCTTTTCAGCAAGGAAAACTTGATGGACTCTGCCGGGTAAGCAATGGCCTGGAGATGTCTACAGCAGGTTCATGGGGGTGCTGCCATATTCTACACACTGCCACTCCCTCCTGCTCAGCATGTGGGTCCTTTGGGTTGCCTTCGAAATGAGTATGACCACCTTAAAGGAGCCCTGAGCACAGCTCCAGAACTTGCTCTTGGCCTTTCTGTCACAGCAGGGCTTACTGACACATGTTGAGAAATACTGCAAGCTTCTGGCCATTCTAGGTTTTGGCATATACAGGGTGGGAACAAGTTTGTAGGGTGTGATTCACAGCAGTGCTCCCAGGTGCAACACAGAGGTTGTGTAGACAAACCTGCTGCCTCTGAGCTGAGCACCTCCATGTGAAAGCTGATTGAAATGCTAGGTGAAATGCTGTGCTGGTGGCTAATGCTGGTGGCTGGTGAGGAGGAGAGATGGCAGATTGCAAAGGGTAAATTTCAAGGGGAAGGTGTGGTTTCAGAGCTGGGCACTGGGCATACTGATGCTCTGCAGCCCAGCTCTGACTGTGGCCCTCAGTCCCTGCACAAAACGCGCCCTGAAGTTCCAACCCTGGCTGCACACAGCTCTGCCCGTGCAGCTCAGTCCTGACATGCCCCCAGTTCTGGACCTCTGCCTTGGCCCTGTCCATGCCTCACAGGGCAGCACTTCCCTATATTGCAGTGGTAGGCAACTTCATCTAGCTGTGGGCTGGAATGATCCAGCCCGAATTGGAGGCAGGGAGACATTAGGACCCTGCCACAACTGGTGGTTGTCCCCACAGTGCCAAATGAAGAATGCCCACAGATGGCATCCCAGCCATCGAGTGCCCCCATTGTGTCTGTAGGCTGGATCCAAAGGTCCTGTGGGATGGTTCTGGCCCATGGGCTGTTGCTGCCCTTTGTAGGCCTCTCCAGAGCAGAATCTCTGCCTTGCAAGTAGTACAAAAATCTGATGGATGCATGTCCACAGGAGAGAGATGGGCAGCGATCTGGCTCCCATGCCCCTTAGGGACAGCCCTTCATTGGAAGCAGCACAGAGTACATCTGACAGCTCCTTTCTCTGTCCCACAGGGAAACAAATGTAGCCATTTTTTCCAGTTGAAGAACATCTCCTTCTGTGGGTACCATCCAAAGAACAACAAGTGAGTGCCTGTGGGGTGGCAGGGCCTCTGTGCCCACTCCTGGATGGAGGGTACCCCACCTCAAATTGCTCCCCCCCATACACTTTGCTTGGCAGGGAAGCTTGGACTAGGAAGCTGCCCACCTTCTCTCCAGTTTAGGGCCAGGAAGCTTTCTTGGAGTTGGGGTCCCTGAAGCTGTGGGCAGGGTGTGGAGGGCAGTGGGGGACTTGTCAGCTGAGAGGGCTGCTGCTGCTGCCATTCAGATCCAGCCCCAGCCATGGGTAGGAGAGTGGGGCAGACCTGCCTGCAGGGCAGGGGTGAACGGAGGCCAGTGCAAGTGGAGGCACAGTGCCACCCCTTTTGCTCATTCCAGTGGTGGAGGGTGGCTGTGCTGATGCCAGCCAAGCCCGACCATAGCATGAAGATGTGTGGACAGGGGTGATTCTAGATATGTTAAACCTAGAAATGCCCCCCACCCATGACGGTTTCATGTCCTTTTATCTGTGTGCCTCCCTGAGAGCAGGTCCATTGGTCATGCAGGAGCCAGGAGTCAGGACTCATGAGTTCTATTTTTTGCCATGCCTCAGTTTCTTTGTCTACCCACATGTCTTTTCCAGGATGCTGCAAAGGTTAAACAGGACTGTGCAGAGTGCCATAGATTCCTTGGCCATGGCTGCTAAAAAAGCCCCTATTGCCCCAATGCCCCTATTGGTATAAAGCTGAAACTTTTGGCAGTGGAAACATTTTTCCTATTGGGGAAATATCCCCATTTCCCCTTCCCCAGGGCTGGGCACTTGTATAAACCACCTTTTGAGACCCTTTTCTCCTAGACTTCCCAACCCAGCAACATTCCCCAGGCTCCAGGCTCAGAAGAGCCAGGTCCCCTCCTGCTTCAAAGGGGAAAGGGAGCCCTGCTGTAGATAGTGACCAAGTCCTTGTGTTGCTGGTCTAACAGGCCATGCCACCCAGATGGTGGGCAGCCCGGTGCCTGGTCTCTGCTGCAGCCTCACCTCCTGTCTCTTCTCTTCCAGGTATTTTGGATTTATCACCAAGCACCCAGCAGACCATAGATTTTCCTGCCACGTCTTTGTCTCTGAGGAGTCTACCAAGCCACTTGCGGAATCTGTAGGGTGAGCTGCTGAGTTGCAGGTGGCTTGGAGGAAGGGGTGGCTCATTCCTCCAGGGCAGAAGTTATACCTTGGGGTTGGGCTTTGCTTTGGGGCACTGCTGCCTCCCCCTGAATCGTGGGGGGCATTTTTTCCTGGCAGCCTGGTGCTGCCTAGAGGAGCTCTTGGAGCTGCTGTCCTCTCTAGGGACAGGAGCAGGGACAATTCTGAGGTGATAGCTCTGGAAACTGGATGTTGGAAAGGAGCCCAGCTAGTGATTTTAGTAGAGTTCTACCCCAAATAGCCAAGGCATTATGTTATGATTGCTATTGTCTGGGCTAGGAACTAGTGCCTAAAGGTGGAAGGGTCTGAACCCCACTCCCTTCATCCCCAGAGCAAGCCATCTCACCCCCAAAACAGTTTAATGGCCACAGCAGCTCTCTAACCCATGTCCTGTGCCTCCCTCTGTGTAGCCAACACTCCCACAAGCTGCGGTGCTCCCCATGGTGAAACGCTGTAGCTGACCTGACACATCTCAACAACTCCGTGGGGAGACATGGAGTTATCTTTCTAATATGTTCTTGCCATGTCCTCTTTGTTGTGAGATATCAGGTGAACAGTTCAAGGATATTTGGCAACCGCTCCCCTGTGGAGACAACTTTGTCTGCCTTTTCTGCAAAGCAGAGGTTCCCCTGCACTGCAGTCATTCACACAGGGAGAGAAGCAAAGCATCCAGGGCTCCCAGGCAGCAATAGGCTCAGTCTTCTTCTTGGCTCTGGGCTGTACAATCACCAGTAGTCCTGGGAGAGGGCTGCATCAGTATCCCCAGGAGTCAGCCACCAAGCTGCTCTTAGTTGAAGTTCACAATCCCAGACAGCACTGAAACTGAGCCCTGGCTAAGCAAGCCAGTCTCTGTGGCACAGGACACCTAACACAGCCTTCACAGAGCACCAGATCTAGAAGACCAGGAATTGTCCCTGGAGGGCAAGAGCAAGAGACTGCTGTGCTGGAGATCCTCCAGCTGGGCTGGCAGAGTAGACAGCAGGGGCCAACCCTGGCCTGCACCTTAGGGGTTAGACTAGAAGACATCTGAGTGGCCTTCCCAGCACCATTTTCCAGGGATCTATGAGAATAAAGTGCTGGATTCACCCAAGGGCTGGGAGCCTATCATCTCAAACTTTGATAAGAGAGAGAAAGCGAGTGACAGAGAGGGTGTGTTGGCAAAGGGCACTTAGCTTGGCTGGTGGCTCTGCTCACACCCAATGTGGTGGCGCCTCTTCAGCCTGCTCCTCCACTCTTGTTTGTTTCAGGAGGGCTTTCCAGCAGTTCTACAAGGAGTATGTGGAGTACACATGCCCCACAGAGGACATCTACCTGGAGTAGGGGGCTGGGCCGAGCACCTCCCATACAGACAGGGCCAGCAAACGTGCCTCTTCCCCAGTGTGCATGGACAAGCTGCTTTGAGACTGGAGGAGAAAGAGGAGTGAAGCTGGAGATGGTTCCCTTGGTGCATGGAGCACACCCCCCCCTCCCCCTGACTTTTCAGGACTCCCCTTCCTTGGGCTGGGGGCTTGGGGTGGGAGGGGGGAGGGGTGAGAAATGGGGTTTATTGTAAAATACTCTTAGTTTATTATATTGAAGAAGCATCAACGCCGCAGGCACTGCTGTGACAGCATAGGATGGGGCATGCCTGGGTAGGGGGGCCCTGGAGGGGTAGGGGCAAGCATGCAGCTAGGGGCACTGGCTGCACCACAGGCCAGGCTCTGCTTGCTGGCCCAGTGGAATGGACGGGAGAACATTCATGCTCCTCTCCCCCAAGCGCTGGGGTGGTAGCACCTCCCAGCACGCAGCCTCACTCCTGCCGCCATCCCACCGTGGGCTGATTTTTAATTCTGCGGCCAAGGCAGGCTCGCATCAAGAAGCTGCAGGATCAGCAGCAAACAGGAACCGGTGCAAGGAATAGAGGTGGCCGAGTCCCCCTCTCCCAAGGGAAAGGGGCCTGCATGTGGCAAAGAGAAGTTACTGCTGAAAGCCTAAGGCCCAGCTGAAGGGTGCTGAGAGGGAGATGGACTCGGCCCAGAAATTCCCACAGAGGGGCCTGGCTTTTAACCACCCTGCTGTTCCCACCCTGACAGGCTAAGGTGCTGTCTGGTTTCCAGGCATTAGCCCTGGCCTATGCTGAGACATGGTGGCCTGTTCCCCTCCCTGCTTAAAGGAGAAGCCAGGGAGGAGCTAGGAGTGTGTAGGCCCTCCCTACTCTAACTGTTTATTGGGAAGTGGAGGGAGAGAGGCATGGAAGTCCCCTGCCCCCTTCTCATACAGCTGTGGGGGGTGGGATGGTGCCCCTGCTTCTCCCCCCATCCACTGCAGCTGCAGGTACCAGGGCTGAGGGGAGCAGCTCTGACCCACCTGAGCTGGGCTAGGCATCCTGAGGAGCATCATCTGCAAGCACAATGCGAGTTCCCCATGTCCAGGATGGAGCTGTCCCCCTTGATGGGCAGAGGGGGTAGGGATGGAAGAGAGAAGCGCGACTGGGGAGAAGGGGCTGAGGCTGGCAGTGAGCTGTGCTGAGAGCAATAGAGCAAGTGCCCCACCCTTGCCCTGCAGCCAGTGGTCTCTGTGCTCCAGCTGGATCCACCGTGATGGCAACAACTATTAAACCTGACCTTTCATGGAGCTGCGCTACATTTTCTCTGTGCGTCACCTGCTCCTGTCACAGCTCTGCTTCTTGGGCAGCCCTACTCCACCCCACTCTCTCCTGATCACCTGTAGTGTCTCAGAGAGCCCCCAGCCCTGCTGGCCTCACCTCACTCCTCAGAGCTAGGGGAGATCAAGAATCATTGCCCGCAGCTGCTCTGACAACTAGCACCAAGCAGTAGCAGTCTCAGTTTTTAGCACCCAGAGCTCTGGGATCCCCACAAAACTCAAAAAGAGACACACAACCTGTAGAAAGGGAAGGGTAAATTTGAAGGACTTCTGTCTTCAGCTACAACCTCATCTCCAGCAGTAGAAGAAACAAGTGGAGCCTACAGACCTGGCTCCCAGCCCCCACCTTGCAGGAACCCCAACGTGGCATGTTCCCTAGTAGCTCATAGATTGGCATCATAGTTATACTCATTCATGTCTGGCTCGTCCCGTTTGCTCTTGCGTGCTTGGTACAGGCCCTTGGGCTGTGCCCGAGTCTCTTGAGTCAGGAACTGCAGTCGTTTTGGTTTAATGCCATAATCTGTGGAAGAGCAGAGAGATTGGGAGCTGCTGAGAGGATCCATGAAGACTGCGTGCATACCCCTACTCTGGGACAGACTGTTTCTGAGAATCATCGAAATATACACTTGGGGACTCTCATGCTAGCACCCACCAGAGATCAGATGCTACCATCCCAGATGGGAGCAGACAGTAGCTGCTCTGATCTTTTTCTAGGGAGGGGAATTCACCACCAGTAGTGAAAAGGGAATGGATTTAGCAGCCTTCTTGAGGGCTTTCCCTTGGACCTGGCAACTGGATATGGAAAAGGAGTAAGAGGAAAGAGATGCAGTTTGGATCCCTGGCCAGCTGCATGCGGAGTGTGACTGCTACCATTACAGTCAGGTCTCTGAGTACCTATGTGGAGCAGGCTGAGCCCTAGATATCAGGGTTGCAGGACCAGCTAGCGCTGTATTAAGTGAGGTTAATTCTGTTAGCTGGATTAGCTGGCGAGACAGCCATTACATCACTGAGGGCACTCCAGGGACCAAGGCCAGCTTTTTTCACCTGCAATTGGCTCTGACTGTACTGTCTGGGGAACAGACTGGCCCAGATATCTAGGGATGGCAGAGCCAAGTCCCGATGGAGTTTTAACCAGCCCCTTCTCACAGAACCCTTCCACACTTGAACAAGGCACCTGGCAGGCCCGTCTTTACTCCTGGGAGCAGGAATGCTACAGAGAAGTCAAGTCTGGAGTGACAGGATCATAACACTGATCCACAACAGCCCTCCCTTTCCTTTCCCTTCCTTGTAGACCAGTGACTGGCAGTCAGCAAGTCTAGAATGGAGCCAGGCTCTCCACCTCCCTGCCTCACGAAGATCCTGTCTAACCTCTTTCCCTGCAGTACATGCCCAACCAGCTGCCCAAGAAGTACGTACCATCCACCAGGCCAAAGTGCTGCTGTGGGAGCTCCAGGGGAGCAGAGAAATCCTCAGCAATGGATTGGCTGGGCCTGCAAGGAATGTGCAGAGTCAGGAAAGCAAGAGCCTGCAGCATGAGGCTGGAGATATTCCTTGCAGCAGGAGCTGAGGCTGCCCAAGTGGTTTCCCTTTAAGTTCCTTATTGGACACTCATCCCTTTCTCAGACATTCTTCCCCAGGTCTGAGCTGTATCCTCTCCCCTCCCCCAAGATTAAACCCAGAGGTCCTGGAAAGGAGCATATAACATAACCTGCCTACTTGCAATTTAATGGTGACTTGGACAGGGGCTCCTCTCACTGAAGGAGCACAGTTGGTACAACTAGCAACCATGCAGTGCAAGAGGCAGGCTCTCTAGAGCAGTGTTTCCCAACCCTTGGGTTGTGTCCCAGAAGTGGGTCACGAGAATATGAAAGGGTTATGAATAAACTTTAAAAATGGATCAACAAACTTAAAAAATGGATTCCCCTTTAAAGGAGAAAAACATAGAAAACCATGGCTTTTCCCTTGCAGGCTGGCAGTGTCAGCCCCCCACCCCATTTCCCACACACAGCTCCACCCACCCCGTGCTCCACACACTGGTAGGCTGGGGCCTGAGGGCAGCAGGTCAGGAGTGAGCCGCACTGAGTTGGGACTGCCCATTGGTGTTTGCAAATGGGTCATGGTAGACAGAGATTGAGTACCGCTCTAGAGAAAGGCTGCCCAGGCACATGCGTTCTGAGCCACACTTAGAAGCCAATCATCTCTCTGAGCCAAGGACAGTAATTCCCTTAACTAGGGACTGAGCTCTGGGCAGCCCCTACAGTACAGTACACAGCTCCCTAGCTGCTTAGGGAAGAGTATGGGCTCAGCTAAGCTAGTGTCTGGGCCTTCTGCACACATTTCTAGGACAGGGAGAGGCAGATGGACACCTGTGTAAGTCACATTACCTTTGGGGCACAGGCACAGGGAGTACAGCTGCCAGCAGGAGAGACAGGAGGAGCAAATACAGGTTCATGTCCTCCACGCAGTCCAGCCCTGCTGAGGCCAGTCCATGCAGAACCAGACTGGACACAGCTTCTCCACTCACCAGTTGCCAGCAACAGAACATGACATCACCAGTCCTTCTGGTGATATCACAAAGGCAGCTAACTTTTGATATGAGTTACATTTAGGCTTGGCAGAATTTGATTTTTATTTTTTTATACAATTTTTATAATTTTAAGCATTTTAAATTTTTATTGCTTTGAATTTTCATGCATGAAAATTAGGGATATGGGGGCAGACAATTTAGTAATGACAGTATACTGTTAACAGCTTTATAAAAATCACACAACTATAAAAAGTAAATATCCATAAATTAATAAATCATACCCAATCACTCAGTCACACAGGAACCAGGTAGGGCTCAGTGGGAGTTTGGCCCCTGCCCTGATCAGGCAGAGGTTTGGGTCCTACCCTGATCACACTGGGAGTTTTGCACCTGATCCCCAGCTGGGACCTGGGCAGAGCAAGTGGCCAGTGGTACCAGGCTCCTGGCTGCCAAAAGCCCTGCCCCCCGAATCCCCCCAGCACAGGCCTACCACCATGGTCCCCAGGTGCTGCAGTGGCTGCCCAAGGAATTCACGACAGCACAACTGGGGCTCCCGCTACCCTGCCTGCAGCAGCTACCACCCCCCACCCTGGGTTTCCTTACCCTCATCCTGGATTTTTTTTTTCCATCCCCTTTCTACATCTTTCCATGATTACTGACTTTTTGGTCCATATCAGGTGAAGTGGATGTTTATTGATAAAAATTTAATCTTGCCAAGACTAGGCACATTGGTGCATGATATCTTAAGTCAGGGGAGGCCAGCATGGTGCACAGAGAAGCAGGCTGGGAATAATACAGTATGCAGATGCCAAGACAAAAAAATCACATACACACACTCTGCTTTGAGGGTAGCTGTGGTAGCAACATACAGCAACACCTATTTCAGGCCCCCTTCCGTGCCCCACAGTGCCATGGCTCAATGCTGAGTTACACTTGGGTGTTATTAAATGGTGGGGCATGTCCCAGGGACAGTTCTGCTGTTGAGTGAAAGTTACTGCAGGGTGAAGAGCATCTATACTGGGCAGGGGCACGCCAAGACCACAACCCTCCCAGGCCAAGGATCACCCATAGCTCTGGGTCTAGGCATCTGCAGTGCCTGGCTGCCCCATCTACAGTTGTAATGGGAGAAATTGGCTCCGCTGTCATTCTTCAGCCCACAAAGATTATGCAAAATAAGCTACTTTTGTTGTCCTGCATCCCCACTGGGCCACCCTCCTCACTGAGCTCTGCACACAGCCCATTTGTAAATGTTTGTTGAACTAATCTGTCCTGCTTTCTGCCCCTTGCCCATACCAGGCTCCTGCTCCCTGGCTGACAGCTACTCCACAATCCCTTGTTAGCACACACTAGCGCTAGACAGGCCATCTACATGCTGTGGCACTCAATTCCCACCAGGAAATTAGACTGAACCAACCACCCATAGCACCAGCAGGGAGAACAGCAGTCTACAACAGAGCAGTACAAGGGCTGACAGAGCACCCAGAGAACATGACACACACAGCGAGTCCCTAGGGGAGCCTGGTTTTTTCTGCTGGAGCTAGCCACAGCAGTGTTCAGCTACCCGGCAGCTTATAGTGCATGATGGTCCACAGTGCATTTGGACATGGGAAACATGCCTGCCCTGAAAAGCCTGCACCTCAGCGCACAGCTATGTGTAAGACAAGTTGTCTTCAATGACTGGTGCGAGCAGAGGGTGACAGGAACTGCAGCATCTGTCACCACGCTGAGGTTGGGAAGAAGCCAAGGCAGACAAAGGTCCTGATATTCTCCCCCTCTTTCAGTTTCCTCAGCAGGTGGAGGGAAGGTGTCACTATGATGCAAGCAGCTCGTGTGACGTGCCTCAGCCCTGGGAGGCAGAGGAGAGGAAGGGGTCCCAAAAGCATTGCCGCCACCTGGCTTTATTCTGTGCAGCTGTACAAAAGAATCAAGTGCTTCCAAAAGGGGTCCGCTACCATCACAACCACAGCCTCCAGGTTGTGTAGGTAGCCAAAGTCTCTTGGTCTGTTATCCATTCCTAGATTATATAAAAGAAGTCACAAGCACCCCTGGAGAACAGGAGTCCAGTCACCAATTGAACAGGAAAATAGACATGATAGTATTGTCTCCCCAAGCCCACACGTCCTCCATCACGACAGCCAGCTGCTGTCTAAGTCAGCCCCCACTGCAGCAGGGAAAGGCCTTCTCCCTGTCAGCCCCAGTTATAGAAATAGATTTTCTGCCAGGCTGGCAAGTAATCCATCAGTGGCCCTGAAATGAGAGAACAGAGAGATGGGATGAACAGGAAAGCAGCCCCTCAATTCTAGCCCACAGCTTTCTGCTACTCCACTGCCAGGTTTGTCCTGAGCCAAGTCACCAGCTCTAGGATGGGCTCACAGGGAGTGGAATAGGACATGGCACATCACTTGAGGCCAGGCTTGAAGCTTGGTCCATGGAGGAGGTAGCATGTGAAACACCAGTTCCTCTGCCTGGCTCTTATGGGAAAGGTGCTTTCTTTGATGCTAGGACTTTCCCTTAGGAGTAAGCTATTTCACATTCACCACAGGGCAACCTATGTACACAGGTAATCACCACTGACATGCTGTTAATCACTCCCTAGTTCATCTTCATAGCAACCAGCTCATATGCCTTTATCCTACATGCCCAAAACATACTCAAGGTCAAGATATTGGTGTAGGTGTCCTGATGGTAAATACCCACACAGATAAATCTCCCACTTGGCTTCCAGCCTGTGGCATCTCCCCAGCACACAGACCTCTTCCTTACTCCAGCATCCCCTTTCAGCCCCATGGCTCCAGCCACTATCCACTTACTTGTGACAAACCCAACTCCAGGCACATAATCAGCTAGCAGGCGCAGCAAGAAGAGGATTCTGCCCCTAGGGGAGAGACAGCAGGCATAAGTCCAGTAAAATGCCCTTACACCCCTATCTGCCATGTGACCCCCCTCCTCTGGCTTATGTTTTGCTGCCCTCAAACCTTCTGCACCCCACAATACCAGGTCCCCTTACCAGGGTTTTCATGCAAAGAGTGATATTAGTGAAGTGGGGGGCCTGAGATTGTCAACGTAGCCTCAAGCCTGCTCTACATTCCTGGTTAGTAGTGCCATCAGCACAGGCTCCAGAGCCCCTTCAAAGCCCCCTGCTGATCATGGTATGAGACAAGCTCCTGTGGAGGGGCAAAAAGCAGAGCACCCTTACTCCGAGTATCGGTCATAGAAGGGCGATCTCAGCAGGTAGTACAGCAGCAGGATGGTTCGGCGCCTTAACTCTGTCCGCTCCCGCTTGTTCAGGTTTTTAATGTCACTCAGTAAGCTCAGGCTGCAAAAAGAAGGGTAGGCAGCTAGCTCACAGGAAGAGCACCTTCCAGACCTGTGGTTAGGGGAAGGGAGTTTTGGCATCCAGCCCCCCCAGCTCCATGTGGCGGGCTAAGCAGGCTCCTGGCTCCTCCTCCAGGGGGAGCCTGAAGAGGAATGAAGGCAATAGTTTTGCAGAAGCAGTCCAGAAAACCTGGGTGTGCACCATGCCCTCCTCCCACCAGCAGAGCCTCCCTACTCCTCAGTGCTTGGTAGTAGTGGGATAAACTGGGGACAAGGGAGATAGAGGGGACTCAGAGTTCAGCCAAAGTCCCCTTCCCTTCCCTCCCCTTCCCCCACCCCATGTGGGACCCAATGGTGAAAGCCCAAGAAGGCCTTCTTCCCAGACCAACCTTGTGATATCCAGGATTCCTGAGAGGAGCCAGGGCTTCCATGATCTTTGGCCCCAGACCCCTAAACTCAACACTGGGAACAGAAGGGTCAAGGACTGGAGACAAATGATGTGCTTGGCAGGAGCAGGGTAGGAAAATGACCCTCTAGGCCACCCTACAGGTCTTCCCCAGTGCCCAGACAGCTTAGATCAGGCTTGTCCAACATATGGCCCGTGGGCTGCCATGCCGCCCTCCAAGCTGTTTTCTAAGGCCTGAGGTGCTGCAACAGGAAACAAAAGTAAACAATGTACCTTCGTTTCGGGGGGGGGGTGATGTGATACTGCTTCCTGTGAGGTCTTTGAATATGGCTTGCCGGCCCACTGGCTGATAAAAAGTTCATGATCTGGCCCCACATTCAAAAAGGTTAGACACCCCTGGCTTAGATGCCCTTGCCTGACAGAGACTCTGTGACCAAACCCACTGCCTCAGGAGACAGAAGCAGTGGGTCACTTTCGCTGTTCAGCCCCATTCTTCTAGCTCACATGGCTGAGATCCCACAGGGACCTAGGCAGAGATGCTTCTGTCCTGATTTCAGCATAAGAATGTAGCAGTGTAGGGCTACAAGGGAAGGTCCAGCCTCTAGACAGTAACCTTACGTGTCTGGGAGCTGGTGAGCTTGCTACCAAGGGGGTGAGGTGAGAAAGCCCTAGATACAAGACAAGGTCTCGCTGGATTGCCTTGATAAAGGGGAAGGAGGACTCGGCATCCCTCTTGTTGACAGGGGCTCCAAATGAGGTCTGGCTGCCCCACAAACCTAAGCCAGTGACGCACTAAGGCTGCAGCACCCTCTGCTGGTGCACAGGGCACACTACATGCTCTGCCAAGGCCCAGATTAGGATACAGTGGAGCAAGGGTCGGGTGACGTAGATGGATTCTGCAATGGTCTCCTGAAGCCCCAGAGGGGTGGGAGCCTGGTTCATCTCCTCCGTCTTTCGGTTTTGTTTCTCTTCCCTCTGCTGCAGAGACCCCCAGTGCCTGGACTGCAGGGAAGGGGCTGAAATACAGGCAAAAACAGAACAGTGTTTCCCTGAGCCCCTGTTGTGCAAACGCTGGCCTTTCAGACCCTCCCTCACCTTCAGTGGGAGGACTTTGATCAGGAGAACTTTGTGGAAGGCAGCAGTAGGACAGCAGGGACTGTGGCTACCCTCCCTTGATGAGGAGGGGGTTGGCTACAGTTGACAGAGGCAGCTCCCCTAGGAGCATCAGCAGACATTAAGAGGTACCCTCCTGAAAGGGTAGAGCTGGGAAAAGGGGTCTCTAGGATACCTGGCCACATCAAGGCACAGAAAACTTAATGCCCATGCTGGAGGCTCATCTCCCTCGCACAGGCAAAGAGCCTAGGCTGGCACAGAACAACACACCAGACCCTCTGCTCTTGTATCCTCAACCACACATCAAGGGACACAAGCCAGGGAGAGGCACAGGGCCCTCTCCAACAAGCCAGCATAGCCCAGCCCAGCCCAGCAACTTACATTGCCCCCATAGGAACCTACATTCTGCTCACAGAACGGGTCTTGCAAGTGCAGGGGCCTGTGCCTGTGTCTAGCCTGTGCCAGGAGCCAGTCTGACCAGGTGCAAGTACTTACTGCTTTTGAGGGACCTCACAACACGGTTGCAGCGCCTGCCAACGTATGCCAGATCCTCCTCTGAGGGGCTGCCCTCCACACCTGCCCAGAGAGAGGTGCCACAGTGCAGTCAGGGCTGCAACTCCAGATTAATGTTGGTCTGAGGTACGAGAAGAACACCATCCTTCCCTTCCCTCTCCCTGGACAAAGCTCTCAGTGCAGCCTCCATGAAGAGGCCAGCCAGCTGCACACAGATCATACTGAGCGATTTGGGTCTGGATGCAACATGCTTCAGTAAAACCTGGTCCTCATGAACCCGCAAACTCTAAGCAAAGCCAGGCAGAGTGCTGGAAAGGGCACCTCCACAAATATAGATCCTCATGCTATTCTAGTTCGGAGCCCTGACTCTCAAGCCAGACTCGCTGCCGTTCTGCTATTCCAGGCTCAGGCCCTTTGACCAGTTGTCCTGTTACCTGATTCTGGCTGACTGCTTAAAGCAGCAACACTGTGATGCTCCCAAGGGACAGACAGGGGCATTCAGGAAGCAGTGCAAGGCTGAGGGCTAGCAGATGAACTCTCATGGCTTCCCTACTACCCAAACCAGCTGGCCAATGGGGACTCCCTAAGAGAGCTGGCTGGATGACACGTGTGCTCCATCTTGCTCCCCGCAACCCCTCTGGGCAAGCATCCTTCTCCCCTAGAACACCTGGAGAGTAGTAAGTGGAGGAGATCCCAAGGCAATGGACTCACCTTCTGGGTGGAGCTGCTGCCCCCTGTCCAATGGCACAATGGGAGGAGATGTCTGGATACCAGCTTTGTACCACAGCAAAAGCAGGAGGCGCAGGATGGCTCTGCAAGGCACACGCAAGCCAGAAGCTGTAAGCCTCAGGCCTGCACTGCAGAACCCCAGCTTCACTGCAAGGCAGCAGCCTCAGGGTGGGGAGCACACACTTCTGCCTCCTACAGTGAGTGGAGCCCCAAAAACCACTCTGCACAAGACCACGGCAGACACACAGTCCACTGCCCAAGCTCTCTCCTCTGTACTTCCTCAGAACACCATTGGCAGGACTGCAGAAAGAGGAGTGTACCCCCTGGACAGGAGTTTATTGTTCAGTGGGGTCCCAAATGCACAGCCTTGGGGACTGGGCCTCTGGCGTCTCCTCCCATCAGCTCAGATCCATGGGGCACCAATAAGGCAATCCCTTTGTTACGGCTTGTGCCAGCAAGCTCCCATTTTGCTTACATGCAGCCTTGTCTCCTCCTTCAGGGGCACTTACTTAGCCAGCTGGATGAGGACAATGATGGTCCATCGACCCATCTCACCCCACACCCTGGCAGTCCCCATCTCAGCAAAGACCTCCACACACTCCAGCACGCTCAGCCAGGTTAGCAGTTTCTGCTGGGGTAATGACTGCAAGACACAAAGTAGAGAAGCGTGAGAGGGCGCAGGCTCAATTACTGGGCTGAATGGGGTTTGCCTACGCCCAGGCTAAAAGTCCCACTTCTGAGGGTTTTCAAAGGAAGAAAGGTTAACCATAGACTGTGCAGATCCATTACCTTGAGGCCTGCCTGAGGGCCTACTCATTTCACATGTGGCTTTCAACTATGAACAGCCAAGGGCAGTTAGACTTCGCCAGTTCACTGCGTCTTAGAGAGAGCTAGTTAGGCATGTAAGTCTGAAGTTAGGCAGAAGGCAGTGTATGAGGTGCCACCCTGATTCAACTCATTCAGAGGCATGAGCTTTTGTAGGCTATAGTCTACTTGGCTGAAGGCTAGAAGTGGACTTGCAGACAGCAGAGGGACTACAAAGAAAGGAATAAAGTCATTTAAATACAAAGGATATATCAAAATAGGCTATAACCTATGAAAGCTCATGCCTCTCTGAACAAATTAGTGTTAGTGTAGTTTAGAAGTTGCTACCGTGACCTGCCTTGCTGTATTCCAGTCAGAGAAATGCCCTTTTCACTGTTGCACAGCAAGACACACCCAAAAAAAAAAAAATCACAGAGGAGGGAAGGTATTGGAGCAGTGGACTTTCTAAAGGGACCCTTGTGTAAAAGCCTAGTGTTCTGGGACAAGGCAAGACTCTTACAAGGAAGAAGCAGGCAGGTTGTGCAGATTTTGCTTGTACATAGCACAGCCCAAAAGGGAACCCCCTGGACCTGATTCTGTCCTGTACACCCAGCAGGTGCAGCCCTTAAGGGGGCAAGGGCTAAGGTGGCTTTATGATTCCTTTGTGCACCCTAGATTCTCACAGACCAGCAAGGTCCAGCATTAGTCACAGGTGCCTCTAAATTATGGCTGTGTTCCCTGGGCTACCCAAGGACTTCACTGCAGAATGCTCAGGCCTCTCCCCAGAGCCAACATGGAGCACTGCAAAGAGGCCACAGCTAGGGCCAGACTAATAGCTTCTATATAAATAATCCTGAGAGCAGACGTGCCCTGCACCTTGCCCTCCCCCCCCCGAGCAAAGGTCTCACCACAGGCAGGGTCCTCTGCAGTTCTTTTCGGAGGATCCAGTCATTCAGCAGCACCAGGAGATTGGAGGCAGAGTATACTAGAAAAAGAGAAAAAAAGAGCACAGAGAGACTGTGGGTCACAGAGGAAGGGCGACCAAAACCACTGAATGGAGCCACAGTGGGAAGGTCTGGCTGTGGCAAAGTCGAGGGGAAAATTCTCTGTGTGGGGTGTGGGAAATGAATGGGTGGGATGGACAAATATCTGGATGCTGAGAGAAAGAACACATCCAGGAGCAAAATGAGATGAACAAAAGGTGCTGAGAGTGTTCCAGGGACATGATACAAGACTGAGCCTGGCCCAGAGGCACGTCCGTGGCTCCACACACATTCCTTCTGGTTTCATTCACATCCTGGCAGGTACTTGCAGGTTTTAGCACATGATGTGAGAAGCATCCCCCTCTGCCTGGCTGTTGAAGGCAAAGGTAACACATGGCTAATGGTAAAATGGCAGCCATTCATATTAGAAGGGCCAAGGAAGCCTCTGGAGAGAATAAATCCCACCATTCCCAAATGGGAGGAACTGGGGTGGAACCTCACCCCACTGCCCCACCTGAAAAGACCCTTGCAGCCACTGAATTACCCCTGCTCTGCAGCATCAGAGCATGTAATTTCAGACCGGTGCCTCTTGTTCAGTACAAAGCCTGGACACCCTCCCCCACTCCGCAGTAATCTCCGCACTACAGCTGTGGCTGGCAGTTACGGTGGCTCTCCAGCATACGTACCAAGCTCAGATAGTTCATGAGAATCAGAAAAGCGACCTGGGAAATAAGAGAGAGCGAGAGGTTAGTGGAGGGGTCATCACTAAACCAAAGATCATGAGACTCATTTCCTCAGAAGAAGAGTTACATCAACCCGTGCCCGTGGAGCACTTGCAGCTCGGCACAACTCAGTTGGGAAGAAGTGTCCACAGTCCTCAGGAAATGCTCCCCTGTCCTGAAACAGTCAGATGGGCCCTCAATTATTGCACCCTGCCTGCTTCTGGTCAAGCACTAGATGGGCAACCCTCATTCATCTGTTTGAAAGAGCCTGCCATTGCCTGCAGGAAACCGGGAGGACAAGGGTGGGAGTTTTACAAGTTCAGAACTGATGCTCCTGCCTCTCTGGGCAGCTGAGCCAGCTATAAAGCAAGACTGAGGAGTGTATCTGGGCAGCCAGCTGCTCCCCAGCCTCTGGCAGATGGGGAGCCTGGCCCCGACCAGCCCTTCACACCTCACCACACACCTTGGGGCAGAGGCTGAAGCACGCACCCTGCTGACATCCCAGACCCTTTCACTGGAGCGGACCCCATTTTCTAGGGTTCAAGCACCGGGGCGCCCCCGGCCTCCTATGTTGAGGTGCACAAGAACCAGATGCTTGTTGGCAGCCAGCAGCCGGCACAGGACAGCAGGTCCCTACACAGGCTTGAGCAGCTGGCATGTGACTGTATACACACGGGTGTGCATGCACATATACATGCATGTGTGTGTGCATGTGCCTGCACGTGGGAGGGAGACGAGTGAGTGCACAGGCCTCCACGGCGCGCACACACGTGCAGGCACATCGCACTCCTTCCCGCGGCGGAGGAAAGCCGGGGGGGCGGACTCCTGGGTCCCCGGGGGCGGTACCTGGCAGCAGGTAGGAGAGGCCGCGGACGGTGCCCTCGAGCTGGGCCGTGGCGGCCGGGTGTCGCCGCACGTAGTCCTGGTAGCGCCGGCACAGGCACCGCAACCGCGCCCCGGGCCCCGCGCCGCCACCACCGCCGCCGGGGGCCGC